GCAAATTTCGATTTATACAATTTTATTAATTTATTTATAAAATTTCATTTTATTGAATAAATCAAATCAATATATTTACACGTTGTATTGTATTGTTTGCTTATTTAAAGAAATATGAGTAGGAATATATTGTTATAACACTTTTTTTTAAATAATTATCTACATTTTGTATATTTTAGTATACACACGCTAAATGCTGAATGAAACAAAAAAACCATTAAATTAACGCAAACATATAAATACTTCATTAATAACCATTTACAAACATAATTAAAAATGCGCTCACTTGAAAACGAAACTTTCTTCACAATTAATTGCACGGGTTATCAGCTGCGATTCAAATTATCGTTAAATCGTAAATTTTTTGTTTTCGGTGAAATATTTTGAATTTGTTTTAAATATTTAAAATTCATTTACTTAAAAAATTAATTTTCTTTCGGTAATTTCATTAATTATATTTAGCCTTTCCAGAAGATGCGTCAGAGTTCCGGTGTTGCGTCAGAGTTCCGGTGTTGGAGCGAAAACGCGTTCCAATTAAATGCCAAAAAACCGCTTAAACGTGTTATTTCGTCAACTAGTTAGTATACGGCTAAAAATTTATGACAAAATAAATATCTATTTTAAACAAATCTCAAGTTTTTAAATACTCTATTTATATTTCACGACAAGTTAGTTGAGTTATAATGATACTTACTTGACCGACTATGAAATTAAGAATAATTAAGAGTATGGAAATAAACAAGAAATAACTGTTGAGCATTCTTGTTAGTTAGTTAGTCTAAAACTGGATTGTTAGGATGCATAGGCCTTTACCATTATCATATTTAAAATATTATATTGTGTAATACATTTCGTCTGGTAGTGGAAAATCGTGTTTATCATGACCTTGGCCCAAAGGTTATTATGGTTTAAGCTGTTGATTTTAAATATATATCTATTTTTATAAAACAGTGTTCACGTTTACTTTGTATGAACATGCGAATACACACATATTGTACAAGTACATACATATGTATGTAATGTCAGACTTTTTCTTAAGTGTAGTCAAATAGATTTATTAAATGTGTTTCCAAATTCTTCTTGATATCAAAATTACTTTTTCACCTTTTGAAAGTGAACAAGAGAAATGTTGATTTCAGTGTGAATATTGTTTATTCATATCATATTCTTGTGCGTTCTAAATGCAGGCAAATAAAGAAGCCGGTGAAAGAATGTCAAACAATGCTATGTTTCTGAATTAATAGAATATAGACTTATATATGTATGTATACCCACTCATCAGTCGATTTTGGTGCTCTCCTTTATTTGCTTTTTTCTTGGTTATACACCGTTATTATTGTATTTGATACTTAAACTTTCTAAAAAAATAATTAAACGATAAAGAAGAAAATAAAAATGAATAAATTAAAAGATATTAAAAATCCTACGTCATCCTACGCGAATACATACTGCATATATATATATATATATAAATATATACTATTATATAGATATATATATTTAGTATTAATATCGACACTTGATGCGCTGGCAAAAGTTCATCGGGTCCATCTTTCACTGTTGCTTTCTCTGCAACATTTTGCTTATGCCAATCAGCTTTGAGAGCCAATTAGATGCCAAAGCGCAGGCAAATACAAAATTTAATTTAAAGGAACTCGATCGAATGAACTCAAATTAGATTGGTTTTGTCAAAAAATCAATTTCATTTGTTTTGATAATGTTTTATATCAACAATTGTAAGTCTATACTAAGTGGCTATTAAATATTAGTTATCTTATATTTCGCATACTCGACACGAACTAAGGGTAGTTTAAGCAACAGCAGCTCATTTCAACGCTAAAAAATTGTGCTCCTACTTTAAGAGTGTGCAAAATCTAAATCGAAAGTTTGTTAAAATGTACGATTTCAACAAACATCAAGGTGAGCTTTATCCAAACATGATATGCATCATCGCGCATGCGCATAGATTTTTTTCTGTCTCCTCCAATAACATTTACTAATTAATTTTTACTGTTTGCAGTAGCTAAGCGATAACATGTCTGCAAATTATTTATTTAATTACTGTCAATATAAAATCTAATTAGTCACACAATAAAGCACATTTACCACTTTATCTCCACTTCATTAATAACCACAACTACGACCTCAAACAGATTGGAGACTTTCAAATATTTGTTTGAAATGTTTGCTTAGTGCAGTATTAAATATAAAATACTCAACATGTTTCTGTGGAATTGTATAAGTTTTAAATTGCCCATGTTTAAAAAGAGAAATTTTGAATTTTTACGCTGTTTTCAAGATAGAAAAATTCGTTAAAAACTTCAGACTTATGACTGACAAAAGTGACGTGGTAGCCAAGACGCGAACTTATCCCGTCTTATCCTGTCGAAAGAAAGCAGAACCTACTGTGCGGTTGTTGAAGCTAATATATAAGTACATATCACTGGCAAACGTCAAAACCAGTTGTGCGCTTTTTTATAATACCAAATTAGTGAGAAAACTCTTTTTATTTTCTTCTGCATTATATTAAAAAAGTAACACTATCCAGAGTCATCTTATTTGAAAGGGAATTCGGATGGGACTTTAGGTGTCACTCAAGATCAGTGCTCTGGCAAAGCTGTCGAGTGCTTTAAAATCAAAAACTATGTCTTCTACAATATGTCGATCATTTTATTGTTGGTTCGATAAATATTGGTCTCTATAAAAAAACTGCTTCATAATTTTTGTCAGTTTTGAAACTCCACATTTAATTAGCTCCCGTCGCTATATTGTTATTAACGCTATTTTAACATCTTAAAGCCAATATATTCGGTATAAATAAGCAGGCAGGAGTAAGATCTGAATGAATAAGAAAGCTCGTAAAATTATAAAGCTCATTAAATAGTTAATTTAATTGTTTTTTTTTAAATGTGTCATCTATTTCTTGGCTTGCAAGGCGACGATAATCGTTGACGTCACAGAACCAACTTCGTCATACATACAGTGGGTGGGATTTGATATTTAAATAATAACAAGAGATTTATCTTTTCTTTATATATGGAAAATATATAATAATTATATATAATTTATATAAAAATGGGAAAAAAATTTTATACAGAAGAAAACACAAATCAAATAAACTTTGTATTCAATCGTACAAACCAACATCACCCCAGTCACATATTTGGTCATATTTTTATTAAGAAATGGTGCAATAATTAGCAACAAATAGCTACCGTGCATGGTTTTGACCAAAAAAAGGTCGAGGTGGTCGAATAAAACCAAATATTTAAACAATTTTTTTTTTCTTTAAATACGGCATTCTTGCAGATATATTAAGATATATATTGCTACCTATCAAAGGAATTCATGTTTCTTCTTCCCAAAACTAAAAATTTTCAGCCCAAAAATTTTATCATTAAATTTATAACATAAAACTATTAACGAATATTCTACCACATCTCAAGCTTGTTTTAATTTATCACAAGAATGTAATATAAATCACACACTATTTTTTTAATTGTTGTCCACAATAAATAATGCACAATTGAAAATAAAAATATATGCAAATTAATTTTTAAACCTTCGGTAACCCACAACATTAAACCAATTTCTTCATTAAACATATTGCGAGCAAAAAGTAAGATGAATTTGTTTGTAAAATTAAAAAGATTTATTTATTATTTCACATCGATTTCGTCGCCTTAAAAAAGTCATTGGCAGGGGACTTTGCACAATTACGGAAGCATGTAAAATAGCCGAACTCTGGTATGACCTTCAGAGAGCGCGCCGATTCACATTTAATCTCCTCAATCGACTCAAAACAGTGTCCTCAGGCACTTTTGCTCGTTATTAAACCGAAATATTAGACGCGCGAAGCTCAAATTAAAAATTCACATTATATGATTTTGCTCCTGTCGTAACCTTTTGTCCTATAAACCTTTGTTGTATACCACATTTTCAGCTTCATCAAAAGAAAAATCTTAAAGTGAAGTGCTTTTCGAGCAAAACTAAAAATGATTATTTTATAGAATCTCTATTCGTGCGGCTTTAAAAATAAAGTTGTTGAAAGCACAATGTTTAGAAATTAATATAAAAAATTATTACATACAAAATTTAATTAATGTGAAGTTAGATTTTATACTGTTGTACGCCTCTCCATCATAACTTGCTGGTTGCATACATGCTTGTATCCAACTTTTTTTTTTAATGTTAAGATAAAAGTTCAACTAACATCTTAATATTATTAAAAATTAAAATTTTTTTTCACTTATAAAAATTATGCTTTTTATTGAATTTAGTTTCGGATTCTGCTATTTTCCTTTGACAACAAAGTTTTAACCAGTATAAGCTCAAATTTCTAATTATCTTGCGGGGCACTTAAATATAATTATGCTGAAGAAAAGTACAGCCTTATCACTGGTTTGGGTTGACTGAAAGAGTGCTTTCGGTTTATTGGCGTCACTACTCGTCTAGCAGCTGACCAATAAACTGGTCAACTGTTTACACAGACCTGCCGTGCCTCAAGCTACAACACGCTCTTGGGTAAGTTTTTGTTTGTTTTGTTTTCTTATAATCTTCTACTTAATCCGGTTATTAAACTTTTGCACTTAATTAATTAAACCCAGTTGTTGTCGCTGTTGTTCGCTTTTAGCCGCTCTACTTGGCGCTCAATAGTTGGCGATAAGTTTGGTATCTACACTCTTATTTAGTTTGTTTCTATTAATTTATTTGCCTATATATGTATGTGTTTTATATTCAATTTAATGCTCTACGCAAATATATGACTCCAGTCGAACTATTTAACATTTAGTCTTAATTGATTTAGTGTTTCTGCTGCTTGGGCTTTGATTTAACAGTCACTGGCGCAGCTACAGAGAAATAATATTCTGCCATTCAAGTACCACTAAAAGCGGTTACTAAAATGTTTGCCCATCCCGCCATGAGCATTCTACCGTTATAAAAGCAACTGTCGCCAGAGCAGAAAATTTTAGTTGCTTTTAAATTAGCATGCGTGCTGGTCGATAAGAGGTGGCGTGACTCCAGTCTTTGATAAAAACATATATATAAACAAAATAACGCTGTGCAGTTCTAGAGTGCCAATCTGAAAAATAAGAGAAAAAAATCAAAAAAGAATGCTAAAAAATTCAGCTGACATCATGAGATGCCCAAATGTGAGTAGTGATTTGTGAATTCTCGTTTTGAGTATGAACTTTTTGGTGGGGGAAAAATGAAACTCAACTGACGGTGAAACATGTTTGATAAATACTCGTATATTTGAGTGAAACAAGGAAGTATAAAAATTTCGAAAAAAAACTGTATTGCCAAAAAATTTTGAAAACTTGAGAGACCAGAAGCAAATGTAAAAACGAAAAGAAAAAAATGAACAAGAAAAAACCGAAAAGCACAATATTTAATTTCCTTTTCATCGACGCATGTAAAGTCTTTGCTTTGGCAAAATTGCACTCACTTTTCTTTGTAAACTTTGTTAGTCATTTCAACGCCGCCACACTCCATAAATCACAGTTGGCAGTCGAAAATGTTACACAAAAACAAGAATTTTCCTTCAGCAAAACACACACACACATCCACTACTCATATACATGTAAAGAAGTATGTTGTGTGGAAATATGTTGCTGAATGTCTACACATGCTGCTGGAAATATACATACATACATAAATACAAGTAGAGGCGGATGTAAGAGTATGTCCCTGCAAAACTTCACTTGCATGCGTCCAGCCTGCTCGTAATTAAAACGTTGCCATAACTCACTTAGCTTTCAGACAGGCGCATGAATGCCCTGCAAGAAATCAAAATTCTTAAAGCAACGTGATGGCTGGGAAGCTTTTATATTCATGCTTTGGTATTTATTTGAATTGATGTTGATCTATTTACAAGCTTTATTTAGATTAGTTTGCATCCTCTTCTTTCACTTGGGGAAAGAAAGAGAACTTATAATGGTTGTTCAAGAATTTGTAAGCCAGCAGAGGCAAAAACATCAACAAATTGCTGTACTTTTTCGTACAATAAGAGCAAAAATATGCATAGTTTTTTTAATATTTCGTACTTAAAAAGAATACACTGATTTCTCTGTAGCCATTCTGGAAGTTGCGCGATCTCAATACTCTCAATGGGAAACGTCAACCCATTCGAGGTTTTTCGATACAAAAAGCTTCTCACAAAAATATATTACCTTTTCGGAGGCCGCATAAAAAGGCGGTAATCCCCTGTTTGTTTACACAACAAATGAATTGAACAATGAGCTGGAATGAAAAATATTCATTATAAGTCATGGCCATGGTCGTGCGACCCAGATCGATGAGAACGTTACATCTTAGACATTTTTCGATACCGTACTTCTTACGAAAAAGAAGCAGAAAAAGTTTCGATGTCCAAAATATAGTCAGTGCTTCTCTAATTCGACGTTCATACAAAAACGTCGATGTTAAGGGGGGTGGTTTTCTTCTAGAATGGTGAGCATTTAGGATTTACATTTTATTTTGCCTTGTCGATTAATTTCGGCATTCATACATTGATAATGCGTAGAGCTTGCTTATTTCTCAGTCTACCGATTTAAACATTCACTGTCGCTCTCATTTTGAAGTTTAGGTACAGATATAAAAATTTGATGCCATTTAGAACTTTTCCCTACTAATGAGTGAGTCCACAGATATAGAAACAACTTTTAAATTTTTATTTTCTTTTGAAAATGTAATTGAGTCGTAGGTCCTTGCAGCTAGGACTTCTTTTTCTGTAAAATAAAAATTGTATTTTTTTTTGTAAAAATATAGTTTAGGTAAACCTTGTGAAAAAACTTAATAATTTGTTGTTTAATTACGATTCTAGCTATGTATTTATAGGCTGCAAATCCTCAGCAACCAAGAGGCATAACATTTGCTCACGCTTTTCCTTGAAAAAGCGCCAAACCTCTCTCTTTTTACTTTATGCTGGTGCTAGTTAAAGGCAGCGAAGTATAAATGACTCTTTTCGGGCACTTGAAAATTGAAGTGCAAAATTTTTATGTTGAAAATTTCCTACCGATCCAATGCACTTTGAGTGAAAGCTCATTCAAGCTACTCTCTTAACCATTATCTGTGCCCACACTGTACGCGTACACTCTTGTACACAACTAATGTTATATAATGTTTTCTTCTTATTTGCCTTGTTGCAGATAGTAAGGCCATCACTTGTCATTGCTGTTGCTGTCGGCTATTTTGCATTGTTTCTTGCTCCATGTTGTCTGGCTGCTGCGATAGAAGCTGAGGGGTTGCAGCAAGAACTATTGGTGCCATTCAATGATTTATTACCACCATTGTCCGATGCTGAGTTACAGGAGGTGCAAGCAACATCAACTATCGCAACGACTACAACAACATCAGCAACATCAGCAACAACAACAAACACAGCAATAACAGTGCCTGCAACTACAGCTAGATCCACAGTCGTCACCGAGGCATCAGTTAGAAAAACTGCAACAACAAAAGCGCCAACCAAATCCACTACAGCAAAAGCGAAACCAACGAAAGCAACAACAACAACAACAACACAAAAACTTAAAAAATCCCAATACCAATTGGACCAGCAATCGCAAAAGCAACAATTGGCAGTACCAATATTAGATTTGAATCCTGAAGTGCCACCCGCATTGCCAGATGTTGAAGCATCTACGGTAGCACCTGTAGTGTCACCCTCTGTGGCACCGTCAGTAGTTCCTCCGCCGGCAGCCGTAGTATCTGCATCGCCGGTTAAGGTGTCGACGGAGCCTAAACAAGCAGCTTCAACACAACATTTTCAACAAGTGCAAGCGGCACAAACACAATTTCAAACATTGCAGCATCACTTGCAGCCACAAAAGGTGCAGCAGCAAAAGCAACATCGCCAACAACAACAGCAACTGCAGCAGCAGCAGCAACTGAAGCAACAGTTAACTAAATCAAGCTTACAACAGCCACAAGTTCAACACAAGTTGCAGCCACAAGCTGCTGTGACCATTACTGAAGAGGCAGCACCACCACAACCGGTGTCTCAGCAGCCGCAGCGTGTTAACGTTGACCAACTAAGGCAATACCTCGAATATGTTTACCATCCGACAACGCGTCGCCCATCGCGTGGACCGCTACCCACACTGACGCCATTCCCGCGGCATTTCAAGTGAAGTGTCTTCCGGTGAATGTGTTCTGTGCACCCCTGTCTGCACCCAACACCACACTTCAAGAAGACTTAATTTATTCTCGCTACACCGACTAAACATAACGACTTCGCTCATTATCAGTGATTAACTAGTTTTAACGAAAAATTAACTAATAAGTATAATATATTCAAAAATGTACGAAAACAAAATACAAACCCGCGAAAACGAAATAAATTGTTTAATTTTTATATGAAAACATATTTACATTTTTACACGTACACAAACGAGTATATTAATTAGCATAAAAAACAGTTTTATCGGTCTTAAAATAATCTTTTTTTTTTAATTACTCCATATGAAATATTGAATATTTAAATTAAGTGAATGTGAAACGCCAAATAAACAAATAAATACTTTTGTTGTATTTATGCTTGCCTTTCGAACATAATTAACAAATGTTGATCACATTAATTATGAGCGTAAAACTCAGCAAAATTTTTGGTGATAATTTATGAAATATCTTTCTGGCGAATGCGCAAATAATTTGTTATACTTAATTCGCAAAAATTGAAGCTTCATCTGAAAATTGTTTGAAAGGTTGAGATTCAGTCAGCTATGAGACGAAAAGAGCTTTTTCATATTTGTTTTTTTGGTTTTCAGTGTTTAATTTAGAAAAATATAACTTCAACTGGAGGTATGACGTAGAGTTGTTTTCGCAATGTCCGAATCGGAAAAATTGTATTCATGGTTCGATTTACTTGAAGTTTTGTTAACAGGAATACTACTTCTCGCTCCGGGAAGGAAGGCATGATAGTATTTTTAGTTGGTTTTGCTTAAGTTTTATTTTTGTTCCAGGATCTGGAAGGTAAAGATAAAGATAGAGATAAAGATAAAGATAAAGATAAAGATAAAGATAAAGATAAAGATAAAGATAAAGATAAAGATAAAGATAAAGATAAAGATAAAGATAAAGATAAAGATAAAGATAAAGATAAAGATAAAGATAAAGAGATAAAGACGAAGACAAAAATAAACGCTAATAATGGTTTTAAAAATAATGAAATAATATTGGTATTAGTTATACAAAAATTAGGGTTTTCAACACTTAATTTAAGTAGTTAAAATGCACAGCGTTTTACCTAATCTAACTTTCGTGAACAAAGAAGCCCAGCAATTCTCATTTAATTCGGCTAAGTAATTTAAATATTGAGCATTTTCCTGAAGTGAAATCTCATCAGAATAACTAAGCACTCGAGTTACCGAAAAAGCTGGAAGTGGTAGGTCTTTTGAATATAAAATTGGGCTTGGTAATATACGACACTTCAGCATATGTATGTAAAACTTTCCCTTTTTGTGTACCACGGCTTTTGTAATACTTTTTCTCTTGGTTTCAAGTTTTGGTTTAATTCCAATGTTAAAATAAAAATTAAATAACAAATCAATGTCAGAAAAGATCACCTTACTATTTTATGCTCATCCGCTTTTATTACTGTTCATAATTAATGATGAGTTAATGAGCAATAAAAGTCGAAAACGGTTTTTTTTTCATATATATGTATGTCTGTAAAACCATATTTATTTATGTATTTTGGTATCTATATAAAGTAATGAAAAATGGACAAGTAATCAGCCAATTTATTGCATAGCACCCTGTTGGCAGCGAAAATATTGCTTTCTGCATTTACGTTCAAAAACGAAATCTTTCGTTACTTATACTCAAACACCTGACTATCTTACCTTATGTACAGGTTTTTATTTATACAAACGTTCTCTGCATTTTCCATAAAAAGAGCAGTAAGGCCCGTAGTAAAGACGAACTCATATGCCAAGAAAATATATACATATGTACATATTTTTGATTGATTGTTTAATTACGAAAGGAAGCAGAAGCGCAAGCCACAAAAGCATTTCGAAATGAAATTAAAGTCAGATCCCGTCAAAAGCAGTTGTGTGCTTTCAATGAAATGACGTTATCTACAGAAATGCAAGCTTTTACTCAAGTATGTGTATATATATGTATATATGTGCATATACAGAGATTTTACTTAATATTTATGTGTTTTCTAGGGAAATATTACCTTTCAAACAATTTAATTTTGATATACTTTTGGTGCTCTTAACTCCCGGTTTTGTCGAAAAAAAAACCGTATGAGGGTCCACGCACAGAGTCGCGAGTTTGGAAAAAAAGTAGACTTTCAAATATTTTGAAAAAAAAAAATATTATAATTATTTCAACATTTAGATAGTATCATAGTTTTTGTCCAAGGTTCAAAATTCCGCTATTTTTCCTGACTCCAAAGTTATTCAGTTGGCTTACTGGGAAGTTCAAACCTACATACAAATATACATAGATCATTACATATAAATTTTCTTCAACTTTTGTCTCCTTTAGGTACTCAGACCGTACAATATATACGGGGTATCCAATTTGCGCTTTTGAAGAAAAAGTGCGTTTGAAGTACTTTTGCCTTTTAACTAATTTTAACGCGTTTCGCGCTTATTAATCGATCCGTTTTCATGAATGCCTGAATTTTCACTCAAAAAACAAAACTTGTTTGGTTTGGCAGTTAAGTTTGATGGATGTAAAAATACAGCGCGGTATATTTGAAACCACAAAATGGATGACGCTACATATGTAATATATTGTATATAAGCGACGGTACGGATATCAGGCCAAGAACTTATCTTCAATATTTTTCTTTCGTCTCCTTTCGTGCCTTTTCCTTAATTATTTTAATGCTTGTTTTTTACTTTTCGGCTTTCGGTGAAGCAAAAGCATTTGACTTGACTTTCATTTTATACATACACTGTTACGTCATATATTTAAGTAATAAGTGTAATCGGTTTACATACCTATTTTTGTGGTAAGTGAATTACCTTAAGAGCGCTGGCCGTAGATTGCCATTAAAAGGCCACAAGTTCGCTAAAGGGGCGAGGAAACAGCGCGTGGACGTGTAGTTGAACGCAGCGCTTCCTGTGAAACTTAATATCAATATAAATATTTGGTAATAAATATATACTTTTAAGACTTAATAAGAACAATTTACAATACAAAATCTATTTTATTAAATAATAAAAAAGGCTCAACGATATTTGTCACTAACTGCAGTTAATACACTTATTTCGCCAAACACTAATGTCAATTTAATGAGGCTTAATGCCAACACTCCAAGAAATATGTAATATTCGTAATTGAGAACTATTCCTGAAGGGATAAGTTACTTTCTCACAAAAAAAGGTAGAAACGCTGCAAAGACGTGCCGAAGTGTACAACGGATTTCAATGCGTTGCAGAAATTTTAATGCCAAAGATTCGCTTTATTCTGGTCCGCTAGTGTCTTTTAAAGACCTTCAAATTCTGAAGGACATTAGGCATCGCTCACTTGACAGTTTGGAATAAGTTGAAACATGCTGATTAATCAAATGAGAGGATATAAAATGAGAACAAGAAAAAAATCATTGTAAGAGGCCGGTGGCCCTAAACTAATCCTTAATGACTACAAAACCTTACGAATATGAAGGTGGTGCTGAGTTAATGGTGAAATTGGATGAGAATTGTTTATTATGAGATTTTGAAACCTAGCGACGGCAAATTCTGAGCTTCACTGTTTAAGATTAACAAGCTTACAAAAAGCTCTTCAAAAAAAAAAAAAAAAAAAAACCGTAAATAATTGATAAAAGGCAAGATGTTGTGTTTCATCGCAGAAAATCGTTAGGCTATGAAGCTACCCGACAGATGGTTTGAAGTCCTAGATAATAATGGTCAAAATGCAATTGGTAAAGTACCTAGTACATATGTACAGTCCGAAACAAATATGATAACGGATGTTTTAAAGTTCAAACAGAGGAGCTTGGAAATCTACACATGAGCTTAAGATTATAAAATTCAAGCTGCGATCCATCAGAATAGGATTTGCAAACGGTGGAAAGCTTCCAGCACAAGCGAGTTTATCGTGTTATATAATATTTAGTCATTTCGAAAAACTTGGTGGTGTGGTAAGACAGCTCGTTGGTCCATGGTTTTGGTGTTTTGGAACTATTAATTTCTTTTTTTTTGTATAAATTTCAGTTGCACGAAATGTTAAATCAACTTTGGTCCAAAGTTTGTCTGTAAGTAGTAGAAGAAATAGAGAGAGAGATGCAACAAAACTTATGTCGACTAAATCAGAACGACTAGATGAGTTGATTATTTCAGTAGGGTAGGGGTCCGTTATTAAAAGAGACTAAAATTCAAAAGTTCCCTCGACGGCCAGGTCTTAAGACTGAGAAGACTAGCATTTTTATCTGACCAAGGACTGTACTATCGTAAAATTCCCCAAAAACTTGTCTCTTAGTACGTATGACATTTTTGAATGAACCCTGGCAGGTAGATGCAGTTTTAAACTGTTTTAAAGAATATTTCGAAACGACTAGATGGTAACACTACTTAATAAGAGTTTTCCAATAAGAGGTGTTAATTTGAATACTTTTAAAACTGTAAATTTTAGACATTTGACAAGTAAAAACTACGTCAGCAACGTCTTGATATTATTAAAATTCCCCATACAAATTTCAACGAAAAATCATTTTGATTGATGAGTTCCATTTCGATCTCAATGTCCATGTCAATAAGCTGAACTGTCGCATCTGAAGCTCGGTAAACCTAAAATTAATTATTGAAAAGCGATGGAGATGCTTTTCAAAGTGTAATTTTTTGGTACGGCTTATGGTTCGGTGTGGTCGTTAGACCTAATATTTTCAGAAATAAATTGATTCCTCTGTTGAGAAATAATAATAATAAGCCCGGCGGTTACGTGGGGCCCCATCCGCCAAACTTACGGAATTTGCCGAGTCATGAGAAGCAGGAGTTTGTTAAGCATTGAGGTTTAAAACTGCTCAGCTACAGACAAACCAATCCATCAGCTGAAATCTACGATTGATTAAGCTATTAACGAGATTTAATTGAGTTACTTATTAAGAGAGGTTAAAATAAAAATTTTTTAGTACAAAAAGTGAGTCTTTTAAATCAGATGTGCTTGAAAAACAGTTGAAATCTTGACATATACGGCAAAATGGTTCATATAGTTCAAAATTTGTCTAACTCAAAATAATGGTCTAAACTGTTTAGATAATCGGATAGGAACATTAAAATTTACTTATGATTAGTAATTTTTTATGACTAGACAAGGTTTACTTTCAACAAGACGGTGCTATGTGCCACA